AGAGTTGAATTCAGATTTATTGGACCTCACACGGATACGAGAAATCCTCCTAATGTTTCAGCCTACCAGCTTTTCTAGTTACCAAGTTGAAAACCCCGGACAAAGGTCATGACAGTACGCCCTTTGCACCGCTGCTGCAGCACAAAGTGGAATGGAGACGGGGGATAACCCAGGCTGGAACGCGCCAAGCTTGCAGGTGCGATCATACGTTTTTGCACTAAACTCGCGGGTCGTTAATAGCAGGAATAATCCATATACTGCAGCCAAACACTTAGGCTCATATTGGCCATGCTTTGGTTCCTTCCGGCGCGCAGCAGAATGGGCATCGGTTGGGGTGAGAGCGTTGCGTTATAGAGCCGCATGGACCTGCAGGTACAAGATTACTAGTTTTTTGCATGAAGCTTGGTCATTTTCTCGGTAAACACTGGCTTTTTGAAAAAATGCAAATTTCCAGTCCACTAAAAAGTGGTGATATTGCTCGAACTAATGTTCAGTTACTTATTTGGATGAAAGCGGTCGTTCGGTGCAAAACGCACTTGTTTTTGCTTTTTCTGTAAAGTTGAGTATTTCTCACGCCTACCTGGAGAAAATTCCGCTTCCACGCAGAATTAAGACCATACTTGAAAGTAAAATATCCCAGCGAATTTCCAGCCTCGCTCCTTATCCGGTAAGCGAAATATTTATTTAGCTACAAATATCTTCGAAGTGCCCTAAGTCGTGGCGCAAGTGCAAATCAGTACTTATTTTAGGCACACTGTTTTCGATTTGGGCGATAAACATGATCACAAAATTTCAGCCACTGTTTTCTGGCAAGTTTTCGAGTTAGCACAGCACCAAGCTGCAAACTCTGACGTGATCTTACGTGCTGCACAAGCGTACTCGACAACTGAATCTGGAATTCTTAGCTGGCACACGCACAGAGAATATCCCTGCAAAGTTTCAGCTTTGTAACTTGCCCGGTTCGCGAAATCGTTTCCCACCAAAGAAATTCGAATATTTTTTCCTGGGACCCGTACGTGGGGCGTAGGCGTGTAT